GGTCTTCCTTTTTTCCCTTTTTAAAAATGGGGGTTATGTTTCCCCTTTTCCAGTCAGTGGGAACTTTACCGGACTGCCACAACTCCTCAAATACGATGGATACTTCTTTCCTGACCCTGTATGATGGGGAGGAAAATTCAGCATGTCGAGCCATGTGACTGAGAGAAAACTAAATGCCTTTCACTTGACAGCTTACAGAGCTGTGTCTACCAAATAGACCACAGACCATTTACTCTACTGCAGATGTAAGAGTATAAATGTGTATAAATACCTGAAGGGAGGGTGCAAAGAAGATAGAGGCTCTTTTCAGTGGTGCCCAGTGACAGGACAAGAGACAATAGGCACAAACTGAAGCACAGAGGTTCCCTCTGAACATCAGGAAACACTTTTTTACTGTGAGGGTGACTGAGCACTGGGACAAGTTGCCCCAGGAGGTTGTGGAGTCTCCATCTTTGGAGATATTCAAAAGCCACCTGGATATAGTCATGGACAACCTGCTGTATGTGGCTCAGCTTGAAGAAGGGGGTTGGACCAGATGACCTCCAGAGGTCCCTTCTAACCTCAACCATTCTCTGATTCTGTATAGGTGTATAAAAGTTAGGTACTAAACGAGAGTACTTCTGAGGTACCAGAGCTCACAGTATAATTAGGATCACAATTTGGAGCAGAATCTTTATTTCCCAATGTCATTTTAATATGTTATCTAATACCATATGCGAACAAAACCAAACAAGCTCTGGAAGAGCATAGAAACCAGGTCACTCCCCAGGCACAGTCACCTCTTGGGCTCTCTTTCTGACCAAACCCAGGGAGCACAGAATGCCCACCTGTCCCAGAAAACACCCCATCACCCAGCAGCTGCAGAGATATGGTTCTTCAGTCCTTCCCTCAAGAATGACGAGACTTGTCAGGTTATCTGCTTTGTGTATGGACATTTTAACAATTAAGGTGCTACTCACAGATCACCACCAATATTTTTAAGGTGAGGCAGCAGCTAAGAGTGTATTTTACAGACAGCTCGATCACACATCTTTACTGAGGATGCCTGAAAAAGTCAGTCTCTCCAGAGAAACAGGAGACCCAACAATGGACAGCACATCAAGATGTCCAAAAGTGTCATGCCATTTATTCAAAGGCAATAATTGGGAAACTTGAAAAATTTAATGATGAAAGCGTTTACAATGTCCAGGAGCCAACAGGGAATAGGTAACAGCTTAGCACAGCATTCACTACTGCAATTTCAGAATTTTTTACTCTGACCACAAGTGATCTTTCCAAGACACAGTGAAAAATTGCATCAGTGCAGGCAACTTCTCATTTTGCCTTGTCTGCAGCTACTCTCCAGCCCTCAGCTAGTCCTCTCTCAAGGCCAAGAGAAAAGCTGTGCTTCTGAGACTTCTTAAATCATCATTTCCAGAATAAAGGCCTTGCTTTTAAAAGAGGGGAAAACAATCCTTTTTCCCTGTCTTTCCCACTACTTTTTGGAGTAAACAACATGGCAGTTTCTTTTTGGTAGGGCTTTAATGCTGATAGTGTGAATCCAGATGTTTTTACACATAACAGGTTTTGTTCCCCCTATAAAGGCCCTGACATCTCATGCCCTCTTTTCTGAAAATTAGCCAATGAAAAGTACTCAAGCCTTGTTGTTAGGATGTAGGAGCAAAGGGTGCGTTTAGATTTCAAAAGATACTTAACAAGTGCTGTTGCGCCCTTGATGAGTTTTCATAAGGAAGGAGAAAGATGATTAAGTAGGCTGTGAACAAAGAGATAGAAAGACATTTAACAGTGACCCAGTGCTGAAGACTTGAATCACAGGATCAGCTGTGACCTCCAAGGCTTTGTGTCAACACTTCAGCTTTTTCAATTCAATTGCTCTGCATTATGCATCTGGAAAATACGTTTTAGAAGAACATGCCCAGTTTTAATCAACTCTATCTTCGAGTAAGCGTGAGAAGTTTTAGCCCCAGAGGATTCTCAGTCAGTACTGCAGCACAGATGAAATGCCTGATTTTGCTATACATCAAAATAAACTGCATTAAAGGACTGTTATCTATTGCTGAAATATTATACACTGTGAAAACCCTCAGCCTTTTAAAAGTTAACATTTTTACAGTTGTTCCCCGCTCCCCCCCCCAGTTGTTTTTAAAGGAGTTTCAGTACGAAACAACCAACCTGGGAAACTGTTAATTTATAAACAGTGCTAGATCTGTCACTTCCTTGTATTTATGGTCTTGGTTTAATCTATTTCAATACATAGAACCAATATTTCCACTAATATGCACTTGGCATTTGTTTTATATTTTCACTACTTGTTAGCAATGTAAAAATAGTGCATAGATGTCTCAGTTCAGACAAGCCACATTTCACCATTAAGAGATGCTAGGAAACCTTGATGAAAGACTGTACATAGATTATTAGGGATGAATTTAAAGACAGTCGTAACACCCAACCTTGCCTCCCAAAAACACCCCAATTCATATGAGCTTTTAATTTTTTTCCAAAGACTAGATTAATGTAATTCTTTGCTTCCTAGACTTCCTGTTCACATGTTTTTCTGGTACTTTGCAGGTGATCTTCCTGTGTGAAATTATTTCTCTTAACACTAGTTACTTTTTAAAAAAAATAAATTTCCAAACTAGTTTTGCTGAGTCTTTTACTGAATACAAAATATTTTTAACTTACTTTTAAGCTCCTAGTTCACTATTCTCTAGATTTTTTTTTTTAAACCAACCTTCTTTCCTGAAGTCTCTCTGGGCATTCATCATGATCAGCACTGGCAGTTTCATAGCTTCTTTACTATTAATCTCATGTGAGTGTGAACATAAGCATTTTGTAAGTAAACCACTGCATTTTGGAATGTTCTTCCGCTTACTGTTTAGTACGTGCAGTTCATTTCAACATTAACCACACTGAAGAAACCTTCATCTGTCAGTTTTTTAGATTATTATAACACCAGTGATTTTATCTTTTTCAAAGATCTTCTGCTAAATGAAAGATGTAATCTTTTTGTTCAATTTTGCCCTGCAAATCACAGGTTCTAAAACTTGTATTTTGGTGTCAGCTCATGGTGCAACAGCATCTTCACTGGATTTTTCCTTATTATTTGAGCTCTTAATCTGTTTTTTTTCCATTTTCAGAGAAATGTAATGAACTGACACTGAATTTGTTTCTTAGCAAGCAAGCTGCTCTTGCTCCTTTAACTCTTTCACTGATTAACACTGCCATAAGATTTTTGTGCTGAAATGTATAGCTGGCTTTCTACTGTAAGTATACTTTACTGGGAAATTTCTGATTATCTGAAATGACAGAACACTAGAAAAATCCTTCTCATTCATTACATAACTTTTTTATTATGAAGGTAACTTTATAACTTTATTATTACGAAGATTTTGTCACCATTCTTACTATCTTACCTTAGTATTCTTACTTATGTCAGTTCATGAAAATGAATCATTTATATTTAGCAACCTCTATAGCACCATATGCATCTTTGAAATGAGTGGAAGGAATTAGTGGGCAACTTGCTCAAAATTCTCTGTTTCTACTCAGCAATGCAATGCAACACCATTCTACCCTTTACATCTGCAGTGGTCAATTTTGGAAGCAGCCACAAATGAAAAAACAACCAACCAACCACAAAACCCACAACATGATGAATGCAGTGAGGTGGTGACTGCTCCTAAGGCTCATTTCTAAGCTTCTGCAACATAACATTTTATGTGTGTCTTCATGTGCGTGATGCTCAATGAGCTGGTTCATTGCTCACATTTTAATCAACGCTGATACACACTTGTTCCTATTAGAAGTGCCAGAGTCCTCAGTTTTGATTTAAAATCTAACTTTAGCAATTTCACTGATCTGCCTCATCAGCAATTAAAATAGACTGTCACTGAAAGTATGGAATGAACAATACATGAAAAAATACATGAAAGTTAATACTTGACATGGTTTGAAGTGGAAGATACCAGACTGTGGCTTCAATGCTACAATGCCAGTGGTAGCGCAAGACAGATGTATATGGACATAATGCAATGTTTTATTATGGGCAGTACAAAATTGCATTTTTTCCTCAGGATGCAAGATTCCATTGAGTACTACTGTGAAAATAAAAATTAGCTTATAAACAGAAAATAGTAGTGACATGGAAGAACTTTGTAACTGTCACTTAAAAATTATTTTTAAAAGTAGTGAATAGCTGTAACACCAAATTTATACATTTTAAACTCAGAAGTCAATATTTGTATCCATTTTGGACTAGAACCTGAAGGTTCACTTAGGTCAGAGGTTAAGCCTCAGATCCTTGGAGCTATACACAAATATTATTTCAGAGGATTAAAGAAACCACCTGTGGAATGGAACTATGCATGTCTCTGAGATAAAAGCTGAATGAATGCCAAGAGGGAGGTACCTGGTTAACAGAAGCATCTGTATTAGCCACAGGTGAGGGAGAGCGACAGGCAGGTGGAGAAGAAATCTCACTGTTGGTTCCCTCCTCCCCAGACTCCTCAGTGACAGGGGAGAGCAGCGTGTGACAGCGACCAGCAGTCATCTGCCACAGGAAAAGCAACCCCAGAGCACAGGAAGAAAATCAGTTACCTCAACTTAAGTTTGACTTAGATTGAGATCAAAACAAGAAAAACAACACATGGCCAGAATTACCATGACGTTATTTAGTCATACTTAACACTGTTACCTTTACCAGCTTAAACATCTGGTTCAATTAATAGTCTCATTTATTTGTCATACTTCAGTACAAACATGCTCTCCTGTACCCCTAATAAATTTAAAAGAAAATGTATAGCAAGCAACTCAATAATAACAAATTAGGGTTTGCCTAAATGTCTTCTAATACAATCACTGCTGCATATGGAAATACTATGGAGAGCTACAGAATAATGCAGCATTGGCTTCAGTATCCAGGCCTGGTTAGAACAACAAGGAATAGACTTTGAATATAAAATACACACAGTCCAGCAGCAATGTATTTTTCTTGCTTCCCCAATGCTGTTATACAGTGATAAATCCTGAAATCCGCACTCTATTTTCACTCAGACAAAAATCCCAATAGCATCAGCAGTATGTTTGTAATGAGACCCAATTAGAAACAAACAAAAGCAGAGTAATTCAAACATGAGGCCTATGGCAGTACTTAGCCAGCTTTCACTTCCAACACACTCATCTGAGAATATAGCAGCATACTATCAATTATCACATCAACATTTTAAGACAAGAGCTTTAAAAATATGGTGTGTAAAACCTATACACTACAACATGTTATGAAATAATATTTATTCTGGTTTTACCTTATTCCTGCAATTCAGTAGTTTCTTAGCATTTGCTTTTGCATGCTGACAGCTACGAAAAAGCACTGTATTTGCATCTTATTACAGACAACTTCAACTGGTATTTGTCTGTTAAGTAACTTCATCCTTTACCAACAAGTCTTTAAAACCCATATAAAGCAAAATACAGTAAGGGGAAGCTGCAGCTTGTTTGGTTTGCCACACTCCAGCCATTTCAAAATGTAGATGTGAGCTGCGGCAATTTGCTACACAGGAGTGTTGCAACGATGCAAAAGCAAGCAGCTCAGATAAACAGTACTGAGACCAATGCTTTCCTTACCATAACCACCGAGGGATGAGCGGGGTGTGCTGGGAGCAGGTCTGAATCCAGCTCCTCCATTCCCTCTGAAAGCCCCTCCACTTCTGTCACTGTCAGCAGCATGGTGGCATGTTTTGCTTTCATTGTCAGCATCTTGCACTTCGAATTCAAAGAAGAAATTTGCTCCTGGTATCCTTTGATCTTCTGAGCCAGCTCCTGAGGAAACATTTTTTTTTTTCCCTAATGCAGAGGCAGCCAATAAAGGCCACAGGACCTGCAGCATTTCAGCTTCCGTGGCGAAGGCAAGCTCTCCCCTCCAAGCCCAGCCAATAACATCATAGCGCTGCCTCTCAGAAACCCTGCATAAGCCGCCGCACTAGCTGACAAGCAGGATGTTGATAGTGGAGGGAACAAGTCAGGCTGCGTCTGGCCGCACAGCCGAACTGCAGAGCCAAGAGCTTTGACGCGAAACCGGAAAAGTGCCGCGAAAGGCTCTGTGTGCGTGGTAATTGCAGAAGGGAGGGAGGAACACCTCACGCTTGCATCCAGCCTGAACCTGACACAAAGTTTATAAGCTTCAGACTGCAGCAAAGGGGAATGTCTCTCCCTCCTCCTGTCGTATTTTTTCCCCCTATTCTATTTCCATTTCTCTGAGAAAGATGAAGCTTCTCCGCATAGTGCATGCCATGGAAATGAGGTCATGTGGTAACCACAGCTGTAAAAAATGCCCCATTCAGCTCTCGTCAGAAAGAATGAATTGTTAAAACAATAACTCACAGGGTCTAACAAGATCAAATGTGATATGAACAATCAGTCACATAATAAGATCGAATGCGGACTGGAACGCTTTTTGCCAGTGTTTGGATAAGCTGTATTTTAATCTTGTTTTGGTTTTGTGTAAGTCTTCAGAATTAAAAGCTGAGCTGCACACAGTACTAACTTTCTTTAAAAAGAGCTAGGGAATCTGGCCTAAAGCAGAGTGTATCTTAAAATATCGGTTTTTATGGCTATGAAATGGTCTATCTGCATGGTCAAACACCATCATAAGTTTAAGTTTGGTCAGAGGAGAAAGATGGAAATGAGTAGTCTTAGAAACTGACTTGTCTTCTCTCCTACCCTGTACTGCTGCCCGGGTCAGTGTCCAGTTTCAAAGATTTCAATTAATATACTTAAAAAATGGTGGAAGATTTTGACATTTCTGCCAAAGCTATTGTTCCTGTCTTCCTAGAGGCTCAGTAACATGAAAGAATTTTCATCTATGAAGTGAAAACGACATCTGTATAAGCTTGCCTGCTAAACCAGTGATTATTCATTCAAATATATATTTCTGCTTATTTTTATATCTGCTTTTATTTCTTCAACAAACACAAGCTTTCAAGGAAAAACAGCAACAGAAGTTGCAAGATCTAGTAGGTATAATAAGATAATAATTACAATATCTTTTAAAAAGTAAATAAGATCACTGCTTCAGGCTGGTAAAATTAAAAGATTTTTTTGGTTTTATAACATTTTCTGGAAACCATTTGCTCAAAATCACAGTGCAGAACAGTCATAGTGAGAAATATAGAGTTAGAAATGGAAGCAGCACAAAGGCTGAGGATGATGCTTTACTGCCTGGGTTTCAGTGGTACCTGGTCACTGTCTGTTATATTAGCAACAAAAGGAGCTCTCTTGGAGCTCCAAGGCTTACCGTGGAGACTCAGCAAAGTCTTGAGTATAAAACATCAACTAGATCAATCGAAAACCAAACTGCAATCACATCGAGCCATAACTTTAATGTCTAGCAGCTGGAATAGTTATCTGCTCTGTTTGGCAAGTATCAGTCATTCACTAATGCTCAATGAATGACATCTCTGGGGCTCAGTGGGAAACTATTGTCATTCAATATACTCACTTAAGTCCATCAATATTACTGAGATGCAATAACATTTGTGGCCTTAATGTCCAATACACTGAGTATCTAACATACCTCTCCCAACTGAAAACAAAGAAAAAGAAAAGGAGGCAAAAATGTGATTGTGAAAAAAATAAAGCAACTTATAAAAGCAATGTCCTATGAGGTACTGCATTATCCATTAAAATCATTCACAAGTATGGAGATACTTGCCCACATTCTTATCTGAAAGTCTAAAGAAACACGGTTCAGTAAACATAGTTCCAGAGTGTAACTAGTTACATACATGCATGGTAATACAAGCTTCCTACAAATCAGGGTGTACTTTCCTTCTACTTTCTTCCTCTTATTTTAATTCTAAATATAGCTACTACAAATGTCCCTTTAAGTTCTTGTTCATGCAGGCTTCAATAGGAAATCTGGTAACTGATGTTTTCTTAAATTAGTAACACACGTAACAAGCATCTTGACAGACTTGCCTTTTGAAGTAGTATAATAATATAGGGTTCAATATATCCCCTTTATGCTATGCTTTTCCACAGGTATTTAGCAGACAAAATATGAACCAAAAAGATGCATATCTCAGCCTTTCAAAAATCCTTACCCCTAAACGTGGAAAGCTTGCAAGTATGAAACCTGTCCACTCTGGTTGATCCCAACATGTGCAACAGAGTAAAGCTGCTGTCTTTCTGCAGACTTTTAGAAGGACTCCTAGCTACTGAACTCGTTCAAATGCAGATGAAACTTCAAGCTGCTCCATTTTTAATTCCTTCCTCCCTGCAGCATCATTCCTTCCTCCAGCAATATTACCCTGTATCGCTGCAGTCACTCTCCTGCATTTGCTGTTCCAGAACATTTGAATAGAGAATAGTAGCATTTTTAATTCAGTACTAAAAAACCAGAAGTGTTTGTGTAAGCAAACTGCTCTGCATTTATCCTAAGTAACTTTTGTAACAACTGGATAGAAAATGAGCAACAGATATAACATTAGGTTATATTGTGTAATAGCACAGATAGCTTTTAATTCAAAGGTAAAGAAATGGTGCCATCTGGTGCCAGAAGTGACACACAGAGTTCAATGGTGCATTTCTGTCCCAAGAAATGCACAACAGACAGGGGAAGGGGAAAGGGGCTCAGGAGCTCCCATGCCAGCACAGCCAGAAGGCTACACCGAGACTATCCCAACTCATTCGGGAGCTGACGATCAATGGGTTTGAGGGCACCGCCTGTAACTCCACAGGACAAAACTCTTCCCAACAATGACTTTAAAAGAAGCCTTTGGAGTGAACATTGCAGTGTTTTCCTCCAAATCTACTGTGGTTTCATGTGATTCAAGTCCCTTGGTGTTCTTTTACAGAACATTACTGGGATGGAAGTAAGTACTTAGGAGATATATGTATAGATATATATAAAAGGATCACTTAACTAGCAGTGATCACCTGACTAACTGCTCAATACTGAATTCTGGGACACTCCTCAGTCAAGTACCTATGTTAACCGTCCCTTAATTACACAATGCTTTCGCTTTTCATAATGTTGCCTGGAGATTAGGACCCATCTAACTGAATAAACAAATGAATACTCCACACTGTACCAACAGCGCGAGTTTCCTATCTGGCATTAAGTCTATCTGCTCAACTAGCCTTGAGCAAGTCTGAAAAGCTACTCAGCTAATTTATGACCATTGCTTAGGAAAAGCTTTTTGGGTCAATCAGCTGCCATTGAGCCCATGTTGTTGCATTTTGGCTCTCCTACCTCATGACGCGAAATCTGGACCTGGAGTTCCTGGATGTTGCCGGTTGCTATTGGCTTGTCTTGGATCTCATGATGGGCGCTCTCCATCATTTGCTGTAAATGTTTCATTTCTTGCTCATATTGCTCATACTGAACCACTGCTTCCTAGAGAGGGGAAAAAAAAAAATACTGTCTACATGAAAAATAAGTATTTGCTTAGTCCAAGCATGACTGATCTCCCTTCTGAAGTGGAGCAAACTTACATCTATCTGGCACTCGTGTCTGGATAAGCAAAGCAGGAATATAGTCAGGAAAAAGTCCATTCAGAAATATTGTGAACTGCAGTTAATTCAATGGTTTCATTTATTAACTATTTCCAAAAAACAGTTCACATCACATGATCTTTTAGATATCCAGTATAAGGAGCTAGAACTTCTGCTTCCAACAAGTATCTGCACCAAACATACCCACCAAAAATAGCATTGCCTAGTCTCATGGTTTTACTATAAAGCACTTTCATCTGCTTTTTCACTTCAAGCCTCCATTTATGAAGTGGAAAGACTATATGAAAAAGTTAGATTTTACAGAAAAATACAATTGGGAGAGGATTATGAAGATTGATTCAGACCATTATCCTACCAGTGTGGTATCAGTTCTTTCTATCATAGATTCACCAGCAGTTTGTCTAACCTGTTTTTAAAACTTTTCAGTGTGACGTAGTACCCTTTCTTGTACTTAAGTATCCTTAATGATCGAAAGTCTCTTCTGTTATCTAACTTGAAGATCTGTAGTTGTACCCTAGCTCAGTATGTATTTTTCTATCACTAAATAGCAGGAAAGAAAAGCTTATTCTCTTCTTCTTTGGAAATACCTTTTACATGTTCAGGTATGAATTCAAACAAACAAAACCTAGTTTTCTGGTATTTAGCAAAACTTGAAAATGCAAATTTAATAGATGCTAAATGACTCCAAAATCAGAAAGCAAATATATATTAAGTTTTAAATAAAGAGGAAAAAAAAATTATCCTAGAAAGCTATTTAATTAACTTGATAGTTTTTATGCAATCATTAGAAGCAGTTGAAGTTATAATGATATATCAATTTCATTAACAGATTATAGGTATTATAAAATTAACCTGCACACAATTGTATATTAGCTATTTCTCCGGTTAATCCTTACAGCATTACAAAAAAGCATAGCAAGATCAATGAGAGAACCAAGATGAGAGTCTGGTGAGTAAATCAACAATGAACATGATCATGAATGTTAAAACCCCCAAAAACATGGAGTCAGAAATGACTGAAATTTAAAGGGGAACTTCCTAATGGTACTACACGGAAAAGAGGGATGTACAGAGATATGAAATTCTCCTTTTTCATCACAATTTGTATGGCACTGTTCAAGTTACGCAGAGTAATTGATGGGATGGAGTTGCACTGGCCTGCATGATGTTGCACTGCTGAATGGCAGTGTGCTGCAGGCGGCTGGCCTCCTCCTGGAGCCGGAGGGCATTGTGGCACATTGGCAGGCCGGTGACCACCTCTTCAGGAATCCTCAGGGCACTCTGACAGACTTGTACTGCATGAACCTTTGGCTTCAGCGACTCCATTTCAGACAACAGATGCTAGAAACAAAGTCAGTGCCACAATAAGCCAGTTTTGCAGAACTCCCAGAGCATTTGATGCAGCAAAAGAAAAACAATGATGAGTTCAAGCACTAAAACAAACAACAAATTTGATTATCTGTTTTCTAAATTGAATAGAATCAGGACACACTTTGTCTGGAGTTGCTCATTCTGAAATGAGCGTTCTTTTAAATATTAGTTTTGCAAAAAGCCCATATAATAAGAACAAAAATAATTCACTGAAGAGCACAGTAGTGCCTATTTGTATGTGTCTAAATACAAAAATATTTCTGTTAACATATTTGAAAAAATATCTTTACAAAATCCACAAATCGAAGCAGCATAGGAGTCATTTATGTATACACATATTTTAATCCGAGTGGAACTTCCTGCTGAGACACAGAAGCACATTTTCAAACCAGCAAATGAATCCCATTGTGTTCACAGCCTCTCTTTGAAAATACAAACCATGGCTGAAAATGTTGCTTAAAATTCAAAAGGCGATCAAACAGAAAAAAAACCCCACAGCTACACAGAAATCTTTTCCTTTGAATAATCACATGCTGGATGCCTTTGTTAATAGTCTCTATTCTGTTCACAATGTCCATTCAAGCTGTCTGTTCATATGCATGAGAAGGATCTAAGTGCAATGACTGGAGAATAGATTTGATCAGCATTCTTTTTATCTTCATTGGAGAGTTTAATGTATTCACAGATAGGAAAAGAAAAACAATTAAAAAAAAGAAAAAGGCAATGTTGATGAAAAGGGCCTTAGCACATCAGAAAAAGATTTTAAGTTCAACAGATAAAAATCAGATGATGTATGTGGCAAACAGGGATAAAGAGACTGGTGTCTCCCTTCTCCTTTACCATATGCAGAAGGATAGCTAAGTGGGTCTGAAGGGCATACTGATGAGAGGGTTGTGGTTTGCTCTTTATTTCTGTGCCTTCATGACATATGGTGGATAATCTAACCAGAGATTTGGTATAATGACCTATTCCTCGGACATCACTGGCGAGGCCTCTCCTCTAGCAGGACCCATACTGCTGGCAAAGGGTGCCTTTATTGTGCAACTGGCACCCAGAGGTACCCTGGGGGCTGCATGCCAGCCAGGCACTCTCCAAGACCCAACCCCCCCTCCCAGGTCTGGTGAAACAGGTGGGCAGGGGCTACAGCCCCTTTCTGTACAAAACATAGTCATACTGTGAGACCTGCTAGAGCCAGGACAAAGAATACACAGAAACAACAGTGTAAGCTCCACATTCCTTTACTCTTACAGTGGGTGACGCGTTTCACTTACACTCTTCAATGCCATATTCTGAAATTTGGCTGCAAGTCCTTGGAATAAAGACCGCAAATTTTAATCAACAGAGAAAGCTCTGCAAATTTATCTTTCATCCATATGTTTTTCTGCAGATTTTAATCCTAAAGTGGACCTGTTGACATTTAGTTTTCACTGGCAGACTAGGACAGTTAAATCTCTGTATTAGCTTGCAGCAAAAAACATTTCTTAAGCAACTTAGAAAGCTATAACTTGGGTTATTTTTCTTGTCATGAGGCTGAAACCAAAAATAACAAATTGACAAATCTCTATAGTAGGCCAAGTGCAATACAGAAAGCAGCAATATCTTATGGAGATAATTCAACTAAACATACAAAAAAGTAACTGGGCTTAAGGAAAACTGAATTTTCTCTTAGCTGCTCAATTGACTGTTAGGGGAGCCAGCAACACACTGTCTCATGGTATCTCAATCTGTAAAGTGGTGATAATAATTCAGACTTCCTTTTGAAGTACTTTAAGAACTTGTTAATGAAAAGCACTGGATAAGAACTGAGCTTTATTATTATTATTATTAATATGCATTAAACTTGGATTGGATGCACATTTCTCAGAATTGCACCAACCTAAGACCAGATTCATAAAGGATTATGCTTCAACAATTCCCTTTGAGGGAATTATTTTTTCCGTTCCATCCCTTATTCCCTTGGCAGTAATTTGGGGCTAGACTCTCAAACACCGAAGTGTGACCCACCGAAGAAACACCACCATCAGTCTCACCAACATTCATTATTCTTTGTGTAAGCTCACACTACTCAAGTGCTAACTTTGAGGTCCCGGCCTGTTACCTGTCTGTGAGAAAGTTGCTCTTTCAAGCTCAAATGCCCGAGCTCTGGAGAGGTCAGTGTGGCTTGGGCTTGCTCCAGAGCAGCCTGCAGGGCTCTCAGCTCAACTTCAAATTTCTTCATGTCCTGTAACACAACAGATTTGATTCAGGGATAAATAAAAAAAAAAAAAAAGAAAGAAAAAAAAATCACTGTAAATATATCTGTCTGGATTTTGTAGTTACGTCCCTTATATACAGTGCCAAAACTAATTCATAGTTTTAACAATGAATTTTAAGTGTTTAAAACATTGGATAAAAATATCAGTCATATGACAGTCTAGAAAAAGAGATCTCAAAGCCAGAGTTGTTATTTTAAGTACTTCCTCAATCTCAAATACAGCATGTACTTTATAAAGCTAGTTACATAAAGTTCGAGGCCTAGAAAGGAACTCAAGATGTCCTCTAGTCATCTTCCTGTAATAAGACAGGACATAACTGTCTTATCTTTACAGGCTGGGGGTATACAGGCTGTTCTTAAAGACCACTAGCAGTGGAGTCCCACTTACCTCTACAGGCAACATGTTCCACTGTTTCAATACTCTTTTTTTGTAGAAAGTTTTTTCTGATGGTCTAACATGAAGTTATCTTTTGTTGCAATTTCAATCCTCTACTTACTATCCCAGTAAAAACTGACATGAAGAATAAATTATTTTTATTCTCTCTGAATACATCATATGGTAGGATAATCCTTTTTCATGCATCTTTTCTACAAATTTATACACATATCACAATCATCACTATCCTCTATTCTTTCTCCAGTCGGTCCACATCTTTCTTCAAGTGCAAAACTGGACACAGCTGAAACCTCGCTAGTGACCAATAGGTAGAACAAAAGGATTACTGCACATACCTTACAATTATATATTTGATTTTCTCTGCACGGTGTTTGGATTTTTTACAGTGATGTGACATTGTTCAATCATTTTTCCATGATCCGCACCATTAAACTTAAGACCTTTCAACAGGGTGCCTCAAGCCAGTACTTCCTCATTCAGATACACACATGCCTGGTTCTTCCTGTCTAAACGTAACAATTTGCCTCTGTCCCTGTTGAATAGCAGCCTAATTTTTTTCAGGTAGTCCCTGTGCATTTGGTGTTGTCTAAGCATCCCAAAAGCCATGATCTCTAAACCACCATCCAACTCATTAATGAAAATATTGAATAGTACCAGAACCAGGGGAGAACCCTACAAAACCCTACTTGATGTATCCATCCTTTTGGGCTGTGAACCACTGATAATTACACACCAAGTAAGTTTTCTAGCCAGCTTTACACCTACCTATTGTATTTTCAACTAAATAAGCTTATTAACTTTGTTAATAACAATACCATGTGAAACATTATTAAAGTCAAGATATATGACACGCTGTACATTTATTTACAAAACCTATTACTTTCACATTAAATCAGACAGTTTTGATATGATTTTTCTTCATAAATCTATGTTGACTTCTATTCATCTCCATGTTTTCTTATAAGAATTTACAAATAGTTTATTCAATTGTTCCAGTATTTCTCTGAGAACTCAAGCTAGTAAGTTTTATTTCTACTATGCTTACTTGTATGCAAATCTTTGGTATGTTCCATGAAAAATAAAAAAAAAAAAAAAGAAAAAATAAAAGCCTTCAGCTCATAAACTGTGGTTTACTGATTTGTGCTTTTGTAATGGAAAGAAGTCTTCAAAACCTCTCTGTTACACTGTTATGGTTGCTGCAGCTGCAGAATTTCTGCTATGTCCCACAAATAAGAGTCAAATGTGGAGGACCTTAGCTGCGATTGTCCTAATGACTGGTGATAGCATATCCTCTTAGTTGCCTTTAGGTATTTTCCTATGTAGTAGCGTGCAACTGTAGCAGGTGACAGCAGAAGAACCCCTATAAATATACTAATATATACCATTATTAGGTATTATATACCTGATATATTAATTATACGATTCCAATATTCCTGAATTATTGTCACAATTTAAAAAAAAAAAAAAAAGTTAGAATTTCTTGCCCTGAAGGTAAGAGCAAGTAGAAAAGACTTCTGTGCTTTTCCCTGTGTCTTATATCAGTTTACCATGCCCTCAGGCATTGCATAGGCATAACACAAATTTACATTAACAATAAACCTATATGGAAGAGCTGCACAGAAATGTCAGGGACATGAAAAAGCATGTTGACTCTTTTCATTGCACTCCCTTGTAGAGGTAGATCTTACATTATGGAATCCTGGTCTGGGCCAGTACTGATCTGAATTTAATAGATAGCAGGCTTTAGATATCTTTCAAGAGAAAAATAAAGGAAATGGCACACTATAAGTGCCAACACAGACACTTTTCAAGTATCTAAACATAGGTGCTCAGTGCCGTTTGAGACACACCATGATCCCAAACACATCCATCCAGAATGAGCAGATATGACAGGACCTGCAGGAATCTTGTCCCCATTTGGAACAGCAGCTGAAGGCAGTATCTCAAACGGTGCAAGACATCCAACTTTACACAACACAATCATGCCCTTTATAGGCCACAGATAATCTGCACTGCTAACAGTCTCAGAAACATAATGCACACACCACCCTAACTGTCAGCCAGTGAGAGAAAAACTGCTTTCATATACCTTGGCAGCATCTTGGAGATTTGGCAGCCTCACTTTGATAACTTGCTGTAATTCTTCTGTCCGCCGCCCCAGTTCCAGCACTTGCTGCGACATTCTTTCAGTACAGTATACACTTGCCAGATACTCAATCCTCTCACTCATGGCCTCGAGATCACCATGAATCTCTCCTGACTCATCAAGCATAGTCTAGATGGAGATATGAACAAACTGAATGCCAGAGTTGAGCTTCAGATTAAACACATCTTTAAGTATATTCCTGTTCTGAAAATTCCTCAATTTGTACACGTCTGTAAGCATATGATTAAGTTCTACTGATTTCCTGTAAGGCTTAGGCAATATGCTTAATTCTGAGTGTATGCTGAAGTGCTTCAGCCTATGGAGACTGGGAAACAAGAGAGTAGTTCATGAAGCTTCAGAAGCTGTACTTACCAACACATTCATTTTAGTGTTTTGCTATACACACTTGCCTGTAAAAATATAATATACACAATCTATGGATAGGATTTGTTCTGGAAGCCTGATGTACCTAATAGGAAGCAGCAGAAAGCACTTGGGTGTAGTGTTATAGCAGGGCAGTAGTCATTAATGCTGCCTAAAAATGGCTACCAAAGCGTTCTGTGGGATGGCATTGGTTAAGCCTATATTCTCATCAACTTTTGAACCAGGGAAAAAGCCATAGCAAAAACAAACCAGAAATGCTATCTCCCAGCTATCCTCAGGATAAATTGCCTGGAGGTTCCTATTCAGAATAAGAAAGTGTAACATACTACATCGCCCCAGTGTAAGTGAATGCAGCTGACAGTTAACTAATGTATATATAAAAAACCATAATCAATGCAGTCTTATTTTGGCATTAGCGAGACATGATCATCTTATGATGCTTTGATTTGTTTCACATGCTCATGTAACATGGGGCAAGCTTGAACCTTATCAAACTGCTCCACTGATCCCACACTTACACATTCCACAGACACACACAACAAATTGCACTGTCACAGGGACAGCAAATCACTCTGATGCGAGGTGTTCAGGAAGCAACTGGAAGAAACTCATTCATTGGGTATCCATCTGAGAACATTTGGTGTGAAACTCATCAGATGAGAACAAAGGCTATTCCCATTTAGTGTAAAGGAGAAAGAAAAAAAAAAAACAACCCAAACTGAAAATCGTCTTTGGTTAACTAAAATTTTAGAGGACTATTAGCTGCAATGTGGTACTCAGTGTGTAGAATCACAGTGTATAGACACACTGTTCAATCAAAAGCTGCTATGAAGCCAATGTACTTGAGTAAACATGGAGATCAAGTTTGAATCACATAGTTTTATTCAACAATATATCTTAATTTTGGTCTTCAAAACAATAGTCCAAAACAAGTTAATCATCTTTAAGACCTAGGTCAAAAAACCCTAGCATTTTAAAACTTTTTTTCCTCAAGGAAAGGAGGCAAAAAAGGTGTAGGAAATAAGACTTCACTGCTTAGAAAGTAACTTCTTTTATACACTGCCCTTTAAATTTTATAGCTCATATAATCACCTGGTAGGCTTTAAACTGATCACGAAGCTGAGAAGAAGAATTCCATGTTATACTACCGTGCACTAGGATATTTGCTTTTTCAATCCATTTCAATATGAACTCCAGCATCTCATTGTATTCTTCCAAGTGTGAAGCAGCCTGGATATAAAAGAAAAATCCACTTAAGCCTAAAACATAATTCTGTACAGTTCTTAGAGAATGATAAAATTGATTTTATTTCATTTACTGTTTTTAACTTGGGGATCGTTTTAACAACTTTTCCTTACTGTTGAATATAATTAAATTACTTCTGTATTTACGGAGTTAAAATAGGTCTGCTTCTAGTAACAAGCATACCTATTTCAGGGAAAAAATGGCACTATAAAAATATCGGTCACACTGGGAGAGTGCATTGATGTTCAAATATATCCCTAGAAGGTACACTTCCTGCACATATTTCGGCCTCACACGTAAGTTCCAAAATACCTTCTTGCTCAGTTTGTGGCTCACTGCAAGCCTCCTTTATGTCATTCCTTTTTTTTCTTTGTCTCTTTCTGTGTCATCCCCCAAATCACCTTTTTTTGAGACCTGCTTTGTCCACTCAGCCTGTCATATTTCCAAAAAGAGAAATGTTGCATTTATTTCAAAATACAGGACAAAACCTCTGCTTTCCGATTCATCCAATTTCTATTTAGCAAAGTACTCTAGTTCCAATTTTCTTCTCACTTAGCAGGAATAATTTCACTGATTTTCATGCATTTGTCCTGTATGAAGGATGGATCAAATCCTAGGTGACTGGACTGTATTTGCATGCAGTTTGCCTTACCTATCATTTTTTTGTGATAGGAAGTGGATTTCTCGGTGCTGAACAAAAATATCCTAACGGCTAAATCCCTTCGCCAAGTACCTTTGACTGAACTCTTACTTTGACAGTAATTTTCTATGTCTTTTTAAAAACAATTTTTCAGAGGAAACTGAAAAGAATATCATGAAATAGTTATCTTTTTCAAGCCTTACAGAAGCTTCTTTATGCATGAAGAAAAGAACTCATAATTTCTCAGGGTATTGATGGCAGAACAATAGAAAATCCACTTCTTTGTTTTTAGCTAGACTTTTTTGGGATAACAACAATTAGCAAAAAAATACATAAGAAAGAGTTTCAGGGACTTTGAACCGTAGAGGAAGCATCTTTATGAATGCTGAAATGTTGCATAAACATTATGCATTATCAGAGCCATTGTATCTAGGCTTTTCTATTGAATCTACAAATTATATTCACCCTCTATAGATTGTGACTAGAGCAAAACAATTTTTTTTTTTTTTTTTGGTAATGCTGCAAATATAGGTAACAGTGATAAGACAGAGGCCCTGAAAAGTACGATGAGATAGTATTTCCTGGCATGCTACTCTTTGTGGGAAGGTCTATAATCTTTTCAGGGCACCAGAGGAACCAACCAGCAGATGATTCATGGAAGAGGATGTTAAAGCAGCATCACAGAATTATTCCACCCTGCTGATCTGACCCGCCTGTGCCTCTCTTTGAGGTGTGATGCAAGCCCTGACTAATAATAGACAGATGTGCCAAGGAATGCCCCTTCTTGCATAACTACAGGAAAATAAATGAGAAGTTTGCATGCTCCTTCTGCTTCCAAAAGGAAACAGCAGAAAGGATTTGAGATCATACCTGACTGAGCTTGGCTGCTCTGTACTCAGCCTGCCGTATGGTCTGTTGGTGCAATGCAGTGAGTTTCCCTATCCTGTTAGCCAGCTGCTTAGCCAGCGGTACGTTCTGCTCTGCAAAGTCCTGGACTGATGCATCTAATTCCAACAGCTTTATATTGCAGCTGTCCAACTCTTCACCGAGGATCTAGACAGAAAAACAAGAAAATCAGTGATCCAGGAAGTGTTAGCTTTCTGGTTGATTATTTCTAGCCCAACTTGCAACTTTTATACTCTGTCCAAAGTCTCCATAGTTTGTTCCATTTTTATTCTGGCTGGAAACCAACAATGCTTGTCTAAGCAGGAAGGTAGAACAGCAGGATGTTTGGTCATCTCTTAAATGTGTGCTATTGCTCTTTCTTCTCTGACTTCCTGGCTGAAATGGATAATCATTTTCCCTACCATAGCAAAAGACTGAGTCACTTCAGAGTGACATTAACTGTTCTTGGCCATCTTTCTGCATTTGTTTTTGAAATTAATAGTCAGCACACATTGCCATGACAAGGATTTGTATTTATTGGAAAGGGGTTTTGTTTTGTTGCTGTCTTAAAATATACCCTTACAAACTTAGAAATATGTAATTACTCGTTAATGCATTATAAAAGCTTTCATTTTCATTTGAAACTTGCATTTTTATAGCTTGATCTTGACACAGGGGCAGTCTGGATCATGCTAGACTGTTTCAATAGAAACAGATTTTAAAATCAATTTTTCTTACCATAGTTACAAAGTTTCTGAAAAGTTTAAAAAGGAAACCTAAAAGGTTTTCTATGTCTCTCATAGATTGATAAGACTCTTATGGGCTACAGTTTCTTGGGGAGGGGGTATTGGGGTTTTTTTGTATTTTGTTTTTGTACCTAAGGAGTTAATGATTCATTGTTTTTGTAATATAAATAAAATAAGTCTCATCAAACACTCTAGCCCCTTTACAATTATTTTTAGAAATATAAATTGCAGTCATCAGACAAAAATTGATTCAGAACACTGCTTTAGCTACCGGTGCTTCAAGAAGGTACTTCAAGCTCTTCAGGTTAGGGCTGTTCTGGCAGACACACCTTAGAGTGTAAGTTATGATCAACCATTATGATAAACAAATATTATTCCATGAACAGTAGCATGACTTAGTGACATAAACTGTCTACATGTAGACATAAAGACAGATGTTGAACTATTCATCTAAATACAAAGACATATTTCAGGCAGGCATAAATAAATGTCTCTACTATAGAAATGATGCAGAATTTATATGCTGTTTAAAAGCGAGGGAAGGATCCATTTGACTGGGGTCACACGGATTTAAAACAGATTTTTATTTTATTTTTCACAATCAATGTTCATATAAAAATATTTGCTGCTGTAATCAAAGCCAATCCAATTTCAGGAGTATCAGCTGAGTGCTGACATAAATGCAGTTGAGGGAACTTTACTAAATCTCCAGTGACAAGATTTTTCATCTATGTAACATGGGAAAGCACATTTCACTGGCTTTCTGTTTAATCACTGAGATCAAGGAGATACGCCAATTTTAAAGCAATATATTTCAGTGACACCTCCTGCAAAGCAAATGGTACTTTGGAGCATACTGAGAGCAACTCATGAAAATAAACAGGTAATTTTTTACGTACCAGACATGCCAAATCTTCTCCTATTTGGTATGCTTTGCTTACTTTCAGACAGTAACTTGGTCAAGTTTATCCTTGACTAGTTAAAACAACAAACCAACCAAAAAAACCCAAACAAACCACCCTCAACCAACCCTTCCCCCATCTCCCCCCCCCCCCCCCCAATCCCCTACTCTCATATGATAATCCTAATTTGGCCATTACAACCCAGTACAGATGAGTGTGGTACATACCTAAGAGTAAGAAAACCTACAAAAAGAATCAAGAGTCCTTTGCATTACCCTTAACCACACCAGTAGTACTTTACCTCATTATTGCACCAAATTATTGCACCAAATGATATGAAATGCACTACTGGCTAAATAAAATTCTATTTATCACAAGTAAGGGTGTACTGTAAAAAAAAAAAAGGTCTTTTCAGTACAGACCATACCTAAGAGTAAGAAAACCTACAAAAAGAATCAAGAGTCCTTTGCATTACCCTTAACCACACCAGTAGTACTTTACCTCATTATTGCACCAAATTATTGCACCAAATGATATGAAATGCACTACTGGCTAAATAAAATTCTATTTATCACAAGTAAGGGTGTACTGTAAAAAAAAAAAAGGTCTTTTCAGTACAGACCAGGACAAGGAGCAGCTGGGGAGCCTCTTAGGCTTTCCCAGATTGCAGTCATACTCATTATTTAGAGGGAGCAGTATAGCTTTGTCCATCTGACTTGCTTTTACTCTCAGCTACTTCCTCCAAGTTCTGTTACTCACTCAAGTCCCTGTATGGGCTAGTTTGCAAAGAATGTAATTAAAAAAAAAATCTCATCAGTCAACCCTTATCTCTGTCCATTCTTCTGTTGAACCACATTAAAAAATGTGTCATGCAAGTCTTCACAAATACAACTTCGGTATGAAGTGAATGTCCTAATTCAGAAGAATTTATGGTGTAACCAAATAAGGGAAGCCTCGTCTTACCTTTTGTTCAAGTTTAGCTTGTGCTATATCATTTGTTTTCTTTTTCAGATTGGAAAGAATAGCATTTAGTTCATTTGCTATCCCCTGGATTTTCTGACCAAACTCTTGATTCAATGTTTTGATCTGCTGAGTTTCTCTTTCTTTGGTTTGAATCTGTCAACAATAAGAATTAAATTCAGTAACCAGAAATCGCTGCTCCTGAAAGGAAATTAACCTTCATTTAACTTACTTTCATTTAAAGGAAGAAGGTAATGAAACTACTCTACGTTGTCATAGTTTGACCACACTTGGATGCTGTATTTCACTAAGTTATAAAGTCTAAAGAAGGGCTATAGATCTGTAATGCATTTATCTACTATGCTTTACCTGATCTTGTACAGTTACAAGGGCCAGCCCAACTTCTGCTAAGTGAAGAGAGAGTTCAGAAGGCAAAATGGTATAAAGCCCCAAGTACTTATTCTGTTGTTGTTCCGCCATTTTTTCAACAGCCTGGCGATGAGTCGTTACTTCACCAAGGAGAGACTAATGACAGAAAAACAGTATTGTTAAGAACAATAGGAAAAACTTGTCTGTGTAAACTTAGCAAATGCAGACATTACATGCAGCTCACAACAAAGCTAACTGCTTTCAAATTTTTAATTAGTTAATTAAATAGAATTGTATCTTGGGATTCCCTGGATGCTCGTTTATGCCTATCTGTCCAGTTCTCTGTTCCTGCGTGACCACATGTATATAGAAAATGCCAAGTTTTCAGCACCTCCAGTGAAGTGAGTTTATTTTATTTTGTTGCTTCCCTCCCCACCCCAAACTGCTGAGACAGAAAAGAAATGTCACATTCTGTCCGTTCACATTCTATAGTTCCCCCATATTTTAGATGAGAGGAGAAAAATTACTAAACATGCTAGTACTTAAATATATCTTAAATATCTTTAAAATAAGGTAGTACAGCCCATCAGCTACTTCATGCTTTATTAATTTGTCTAGTGGCTTACTCAAAAACTAATGAATATTGTCTAATTTGAATTTGTGGTGTTTTTGAACTGATTAACACTCACTAGCAGATTACAATGAAGAAAAATATTGCAATTTAGAAATTGACAAATTTGATATACCTGCAACTCCTGAAGTTGAGTATCCACTTCTACATCAGGGCTTAATAAGTATTCTTTTGTTTCCTGGATCCAGGACTTCACGATATTAATCTCTGCTTCAACCTCCTCACGCTCCTTCAGCTCCTGTTTCACCATCTTCACACCTTTTTTCACTTTCTGTTGCATACTTCAGAAACAAAGAAACAATAACTATTTGTGAAGAATTAAGCAATGTCTAAAAACATTGCTTTGCCAAAAATATTGAATAATAAAGATAATGATTGACAGCCCCACATCCAGAGTAATAAAGAGTGGGGCAGTGTTGCAACAGACTACTAAAGCAGCACAGTTAAATTTCTCCTGTTCATTCTTCAGTTCATTCCTTTTAATTAGCTGTTTTATGTATTTTGACATGGAGCATACCATTCTTTTGGAGAAATGCAAATGTTTACAATACAGACACCTACATCTGAGCTCATCACCACAAACTGCCCTTATTGTCAGTGGAGGAAACAGGCAATTCTAGGGCATGATTTAGGATGACTCATTATCATTCTAAAAAACCCTTCGAAAATAGGTCAGAAAAACTGCATCTTAGACCTGTCTATTGCTCTCCACTAATTAGAGAGCGAGAATTTACCAGTTCAGATGCGGATATCTATAATCTAAAATAACGTGAGATAAATTCCACCCCTATTGAAGGAATTTGCATTGGCAGGATACCTAGGCTAAGGCATGGATCAAACATCTGAACACCGTTTTTGATCCAGCAACCTATCTCCACACTTCCACTAAGACAGAATTTCTGCACTTTCCTCAGGAACTTAGATCTCTGTAAAAAATAGAATCTTTTTCAGATGACAGCTCTGTGAAAGATCTACAGGACTACTTAGCTCCTATGCATGTGACATGGATCTTACTCTGATATTCCCATATTTGATTTGTGTTTGTATAACTTTTCATAGCTGAATCATGCCTTATTTACATGAGCATGAGATCATCACGGACCCTATTTCTTAGAAACCAATTCTAAGGGAAGAATGGAATTACAAAAGTGCTAATATCTACACATATTCTACAGGGATTGCTATTCTGCTGTAATCAGTTATGCATGCACACAACGAACTTTGGACAGGCTAGGTGCAGGGTTTACAGTTTTTTCATTCTCTGCCTCTCTCCCTCTTCCCACTGTGGAGATCCAGTTAGTGGCATCTTAGTGCAGCTGTGAGGTGGATATGAGTCCTGAAAATTAGCCATAAAACTTCCTGTTTTATACAGGACAGGGAAACATTATGGATTTAGATAAACATTCATATAACCACAGGGTGAAATGTTAAGATAGTTTCGTTTGCGTATGCACTAAATTCCCCTGTAAATTTCATAGGATACCTACTTTTGGTACCTAAGTGCTTCCAACAGGGGGGAAAAAAGTGATAAACTAATCTAAACTTAGAGTACTGTCCTGGTTTCGGCAGGGATAGAGTTAATTTCCTTCCTAGTAGCTGGTACAATGCTGTGTTTTGGATGTAGGATGAGAACAAAGTTGATAACGCACCCATGTTTTAGTTGTTGCTAGGTAATGCTTACACTAGCCAAGGACTTTTCAGCTTCCCATGCTCTACCAACTGAGAAGGCTGGAGGTGCACAAGAAGCTGGGAGGGGGCACAGCCAAACTGGCCCAAGGGACATTCCATACCATGTGACGTCATGCTCAGTACATAAACTGGGGAAAGCTGGCCGGGGGGGCCGCTGCTCGGGGACTGGCTGGGCATCAGGCGGTGGGTGGTGAGCAATTGTACTGTGCATCACTTGCTTTGAGTATTGTTATT